CCTTCGGTGACCTCCTGAAGAGACGGAAGATCTCCCCAAATTAGTTTCTGCAGGACCTGTCTGTCCCCGTGCCTCCTTTCACCACCACCGGCCTCCCCGCCAGCGTCCGAGAGTCCTGCTTCGCGTCCTCCGGCCTCCTCTCCGCCTCCCTTCCGCTCCACACTCAGCCTCTACGGTCGCTCCAACTTGAGGCCACCTGCCACCCCCAGGGGCCCTCAGGGACGCAGGGACCCCGACAACAACCGCTGAGGCTGAGAGGCTAATCGGAAACAGTTTTATCCGCCCAGAGGAGCTTTGGAGACACCGGAGGGCTGCTTGGCGACCCCTCAGCACCTCGACCAAAGTGTAGTCCGCAGCCCCCGTGAGAGACCACACATCGGGGCAGGAGAGAACCTCAAGGGGTGTTCCACAATCACCGATGGGTGACCTCACACGGGCTCCTCTGCAGAAACGCAGTTCAGAGAAAACTAGAAAGTGGGGCGAAGGTTAGAACCAACTCTTATATAAACCAGGGAGTTTTCTGTTATTCCGTTTATGCCTCACCTGCTAACATTTTGGAATAAAGCTATACCGCATCTATCTGTGTCTTCCGGGATGTTTCTGTGTCCACTGTGCCGTGTATATATGATCTTCTCCTGCCTCTGGATAAGACTATCGAAATAATTTATAAACTCTTGTAGAGAGGATTGCTCTAATTTGCTTAGAGGTCAGTGAGTGCTCACATAGACAAAATATCCCTAAAACTCTTATGAATTTTAGAAACCAACCAAATGCTGTTCAAGTTTATGTGATTTGGGTAAATCTTGGCTAAATAAGATCGGATATCGTTGGTTTAGGAAACACAGCTATGTCTCCTGAGTTCGCATCACTAAGTAGAACATAAGCATACGTTTTGATTTTATTCTGAGTTTGCCAGTCAAATAAGCTAATGTTACATCTACTGGATGTTTAAGATCATGTGAATTTAGGGGTGCCTGGGTGGCTCAGTTGGCCGCGCGTCCAACTTCGGCTCGGGTCAGGATCTCGGGGTTCGTGAGTTCGAGCCCCACATCGGGCTTACTGCTGTCAGCCTGTCAGCACAGAGCCTGCTTCGGACCCTCTGTCCCCGCTCTCTCTGGCCCTCCCCTGCTCTTCCAAAGACAAATTAATAAATA